GCCTCACCCTTCTGTTCCCAAGAGGTATGAACCTTGCCTCACCTTTATTGAGGTGAAACCAAGCTAGTCTTGTTATGGAGGAAATTATGCCAGAACGCAGGCTGCTTCCAGAAGCAGTAACTTCCTGGCATTTTGGCCCATTACTAGTTAAAAAAAAATCAGTGATAGAGGTATAATTTATATGCAGTACATGACACCCAGATTGTGTGCCTTTCTGTCAGTTCTGACAAATTTATAAACCCACACAACCACCCCCACAATCAAGAAGAGATCATTTCTGTCACCCCAGTTACCCCCTTGCATTTCTTCTTAGCTCCTTCCATCACCCCATCCCTGACACTAGGCAGCTTTCTGTCACTAGACTAGAATTCTTTTTATATAGTCTCATGTAAATGGGATCAGATAGCATGTACTTTCGTATCTGGTTTCTTTGGCTCAGTATATTTCTTTTCTTTAAAAAAAATTTTTTTTATGCTTGGGGTTGAATCTAGGGCCTTCACACAGAGCAACATCCCCAGTCCTTTTTTATTTTTTATTTTGAGTCAGGGACTTACTAAGTTGCTAAGCAGCCCAGGCTGGGCTCAAACTTGTGATCTTCCTAGTCAGCCTCCCAGAGCACTGGGCTCACAGATGTGTGCCACCAGGCCCAGCTTTGATATATTTTTAAAATTTCCATTCAATTTAAAACATTTTCAGGGCCAGGGATTTACCTCAGTGGTGCCTCGCCTGCCTGGCAATTGCAAGGTCCTGAGTTCGATCCCTGGTACCAAAAAAATTTTTTTTTTCTTACTTCCTTTGTGAGTTCTCCATTGATCTAGGATTATCTAGAAAGTGTTTTTAATTTTTCAATTATTTAGGAAGTTTTCTAGGGAGCTTTCTCTTAGTGACTAATTTAATTCCTTTGTGTGTAGAGAGCATACTCTGTCTGCTGTCACCCTAAAACATTTAGGGAGGCTTGTTACATGGCTGAGTACATGGTCTATTTTGGTGAATTTTCACACACGTTTGTAAAGAATGTATATTCCGCTAATCTTCAGTGGGGTATTTTATGCCCATCAGCTAAATCAACATTCAAACCTTCTACATCCCTTCTCATTTTCTGTCTCCTTTTTCTGGCAATTAGTGAGAGAAAGGAGTGTTAAACCCTCCAACTTTAACTAGGTTTGTCAATAACTCCTAGTTGGGTCTTGCATTTTTATAAAATCTCACAATCTCTGTCAATTAAAATGAACCCTTTTAACTTAACATAATTATTGATATGGTTGGGTCTAAACCTACTATGTTGCGATTTCTTTTCTGTTTGATCCTTCTTTGTCCTTTGTTCTTCCTACTTTCTTTGGATTTGAATACTTTTGAGGTTTTCATTTTATCTCTATTTTTGGGTTTATTAGCTCGCACTCTTTGTATTGCCGTTCGAATGATATCATGCAGGTTTCTAACATGCATGCTTACCTTACATAACCCATCTTCAGACAGTGGTATGCTTCTTCGTGTACAAGCTGAGAGTCATTCTTCCATTTCCCCTCTCATCTTGTGTGCTTTCATTTCCACACGTAAGATAAACCGCACAACTCTGGCCTTCTGTATGAAGGCCCCGCATCACCTATCTGCGGCAGGACCACTGATCTCTCCCCTCTACTCAGTAATCCTGTAGGCTCTGAGTAGGTTTTCCCTCTTTGAGTCTGTGCTCTGGAAATTGCTACTGGACCAGAAGGTGGAGATATTATAGGGTCCACCTCACCTGCCACCCTCCCCTCAGGCCACCAGTTCTGCTCTGCTGGCCCCCAAGGTCTGGAGCCCTCCTTCCACATATCAGTTTTGTAGTTGCATGCTGCAGGACCATAATTCTCACCCTCTTTCCTCCACCAACAGGAAGTGCAGGTCTCATCACCGCTTACCTTAATCTTATCCAAGGCTAATGATTTTTTTCTCTTTGCTTATTTGTTTTCTCTTCCCTTCCCTTTGGTTGCTTCCCCTTCCCTTCCCTTCCCTCCCCCTTTCTTCCCCCTTCTTTCTCTTTCTCTTTTTGTAGTTTTACCTCGAACTAAATTGCCCAGGTTGGCAATCTTCCTGCCTTGGCCTTCCGAGTAGCTGGCATTACAGGTGTGTACCACCACATCCAGCCAATTTCCAATTTCCACTGCACCCACTCATCACTTTTCTTCCACTTTCTCTCCCTCTTCCCATGTCTGCTATGCTTTGGGTATGGCCTAAGTGTGTCCACCCAAAGGTTCATGTGTTGAGAGGTTGGCCCCAGGGTGATGGTATTGGGAGGTGGTAGGACCTTTAAGAGGTGGGGTCTAATGGGAAATCCTTGGATTTCTCATGGGATCCTAATTAGTTCGGAAAAAGGGTTATAAAAATTTGAACCTGGCTCCACCCAATTTCTCTGGCTGCCTGGTTATTTTGTGTTTTGTTTTTGTTTGTTTTAGCAAGGTCAAAGTTTATTTATTTTCTTAAATTCTTTTATTGGTACATTTTAGGTATACATTTAGGTACATTTACATTTATCATTGGGAACTTGTACCTTTACATGATGTATCTTGGTTCTTATTTTTTCCCCATTCCCCTGCCCTCCCTTCAACTCCTCCACCTTTCCCTATTTACAAAGACTTTGTTTCCATTTTTTCCTTTTCTCATATTTTTTCCTTTCCCATCTTTCCTTTCCCCTATCACTTGGAAAAGTTTATTTGAAAAGATAAAAGTGAGGAAGAAACTGGCTCTGCAAAGCGAGCTTGGACTGAGTAAAAGAGGAAAAAGCAAGATAAGAGTACACCTGGAAGAAAGCAGGACAGGCTATTGTGAGGAAAGCCATGATAGCAAGCTCTTCTTGGCATCTGTGTCCTTTTATACTTTCCAGATCTTAAGGAAACCTCCAAGAACTTCTACGTTCAGGTCCTGAGAGGTGGTGCTGGGATCCCATGCCTCAGGCTGATGTCAGGTCTAGGCATCCTATTGAAAATCTGCTCAAGTTCTCATGAGAAGTCCATGTGCAGGGCTTGGGAACTGTTCTGTGCATGTGTTCTGAGATCTTGTAATTAACAGTTAACACTTACTTCCCCAGTCAGCTTTGCCACATCCTAATCTCCTATGTCATTTACCCCTGAGACACAAATCCCCATAATTATTTGTGGGGTGTTGAGGTAGTGGAGGTCTCTGCCTTCTATAGCTTCTTTAAGCTGGCAGGGGCTATAGGCCCTCCCTACTGGTGATTATGTGCTGTCCAACTACCTTGGGGTGCTGTGGCTCACTGGCTGGGTTGAAGAAAGAAAAACCTATCAGATAACAATGAGAAAAGAGTTAGTGTTCATTGAGCTTCACTATTAGCCCAAATACCAGGAGCAGGTCAGATTTCCACACTTTCTGTAGTGGCTCTGGAATCTTGCTTTTTGAAGAGAAATCTGGGAAGAGGGACTACCTCTAGAAGTTGTAGATTTTCCTGCTTGTGCATTACAGATGAGTGACAAGGCTATTTCCATCAGTGAACCACACCTCCTGAGGGCTTTGGAGGCCAGGTCACTAATGTCCTGCCTGCTTGTCTAGGTCTGGGTGATCACTTATTCTCTAGAGTAGTTAACTTCTGGGCCTATAGCCATCAACAAAGCAGGGTTAATAGTAGTGCAAGTTTTTATAATAGCTCAGAGGTGTCTAATAGCATGGCCTGATACATAGTGAGGCATTCCTTTGTTAATCACAAGTAACCTTTTATCTCCAGAATAGATCTGATCTGATAGGGAGTCAGAACTTCTAGTTTCTATCCCCAAGTTAACTTTGCAGCTTCTTCTGTTAGTATGGGTGCAAAGAATCTCTTATTAGGAGTCCCCTCAACCCCACCTATGGCTATAGATCCAGAATGGGGTTTTCTAGAGAAGTCAGTCAAAACAGAATGAAGCAATTGAATTGATCAAACTAACTTAGAGGAAAGATTCATTTTGGCTCATGGCTTGAGAGGTTTCAGTTCATAGCTACTTGGCCCTGCTCTTTCTGGGGCCATGATGAGCAGAGCAGAACATCATGGTGGGGAGTGCATGGTGGAACAAAGGTGCTAGCCTTGTGGTGGCTGAGAAGCGGGAAGAGAGAGGAAGGGCCAGGTTAAAAATATCCCTTTCAAGGGACACTCCCTACTGATGTACTTCCTCCAACTAGTCTTCCTCACAGCCCCTTAAGTTATGAATGAACCAACAGATTAATTTGCTGATGAGATCAGAGCCCCCGTGATCCGATACCTCCCAACGGACCCCCTCTGATCATGGCTGCATTAGGGGCTCAACCCATGAGCTTTCGGGGGACATTTCAGATCCAAAGCATAACATGGTAGAACATGACTGGAGGACAAAAAGGCACCTGATCTAATGGAAATGACCTGGGGAAACGTATCAAGCAAGGCCCGTTTGTTCAGATTCTTGGTGCCTCTATGTCTTTGGCTCCTTTCCTCCAGTGCAGGGAAGGCCCCTCTCATGTGGAGGTCATACGACCTGCTTCAGGGGAGGAGCAAGAGCTGAGAATGATATTCCTGCTTCTACTGCTTTCTCAAATGCTAGGGTGCCATATTTTGGGGCTGTATGTCCTGCAACGGAAAATGGGATGATATCCATATAATCCTTTGCGCTCGAATTCTTTCACTCAGCATTTTCCTTGTGGATTCATCCTTTAGTGATGGATACCATTGTAGATCATTCATTCTCATTGTTTAAAAGTCCTAGTTCTCTGGGCCGGGGATTTAGCTCAGTGGTTCTGCTGTCTGCCTCGCAAGCTCAAGGACCTGAGTTCGATCCCTGGTGCCAAAAAAAAAAAAGTCCTAGTTCTCAAAGTGTGGCATACAGAACTTCAGGGGTCCCTGAAAGCACAGCATGGAGTCCATGAAGTCAAAACGATGTTAACAATAATACTAGTTATTTTATGTTATTTTCGCTTTTCACTGTGCTGACACTTCCACGAACGGTGCAAAAGCAGTAATTGGTAGTGCTACTAGAGTCTTAATATTAATCAAGACAGTGACACCAAACTCTACTCCATCCTTTTATTATTCTGAGCAATGCAGTGGGAGGATGCACAGAACTCAGTGCTGTTTTTGGGAGAAGTCTTTGTGCAGGTATCTGAGTCGTGGGTGGAGCTGGCCTCTCGCCTCCTGGAACACAGTTCTGCAGAGAATAACGGGCGGTGACAAACCATAATAATTCAGACTTGGGTACTTTGTGGGCATTTTCTCAAAATTGAACAAAGTGAAACCAACACTTCAAGGGAAATAACTGCACATTGCCGCCAATGATAATATTTGAGCTTTTGAGAGATTAGAATTTGAGAAGATTTATGTCTGCCTCCGTGAGCCTGACAGTTTCCCATTACTTGAAAACTTCACTGATGGGGTAGGTGGTGATAGTAATGGATGTGATTTTCTGATATTTTATGAAATGTGTCAACATTTCAAAAAGCTGCTGTGATGTTGTGATATAATAAGAAATATGTATTTCAGTCTTTGGTCCTGGCCAGAGCTCCTAAAACACTTGTAATTTCCTGAGCAATAGCATCATCCTTTGTTATAATGCATTTGTATTTCCTTTCTGTCTCCCAGCTCCTGAAACTGGCTCCAGAGATTAATGTGAAAGAAATTCCTTTTGTTATCTATAACAAGTCCCTTTCAATTGGACCTGACTTTTTGTTAGTAAGGGTGACTTTCGGAACATCAGAAGGGTGGGCCTGACTCCCAGGGGAGCCAACCTTGTCTTTTTTTTTTTTTCCAACCTTGTCTTTGGAGGACTAGCAGTTGAACTAATCACCAACGGGCACTAGTTTAATCAAGATGCCTAGAAAATAAAACCTCCATAAAAACACCAACAGAATGGGGTTTAGAATGGGTTGGTGGGTGCTCAGAGGTCCTGGGAAGATGGTGTTCCCAGAAAGGGCATAGAAGCTCCATGCATCCCTTGCTCCACACCTTGACCTACCCATCTCTTCCATTTGCACTTCCTGAGCTGGATCCTTTCATGATAAACCAGTAAGTGGAAGTAAAGTATTTCCCTGAATTTTGTGAGCCATTCTAGCAAATGATAGCGTCTGAAGAGGGAGTCACTGTGGGCTCTGACCCTAACTCCAGGTATATGGCAGCAGATCTGAATGGTAAGACATGCGTGCCATGTCCACAGAGAATTGGAGAACAGCTTGGTGTGGGAGAAAAACACCCATTTAGTGTCAAAAGGAAAGGTAAAATAGAAGGAAAAACAGCATTGGTTTTTTTCTCCCTTAATTGCAAAACTTGGTGAACTAATATTTTCCAAATGGTCAATGCCTGATGTTACAGAATCATTGCACATAAACCCTCCACTCCAAAATGCCAGATAGATCTATGGATATTAGTGAAACAGAAGTCCACAAAGCATATTGAAAAAAGAGACATAAAGTTGCTATAAACAAACAAGTTTATTGGTATGGTTTCAGCTTTCTTATTACAACTAACCTTTAAGAAACTATCGCTTGGTCTCAATTCAGTGAGATATTAAAGAATATTTACCACTATCTTAAAATTCTTTCCTTTTTCAATCACATTTATGTATGAAGCTATAATATTATTTCCTTATAACTTCAACTGAAGCAACATATTGACACAGACTGAATGCAGAAGCAAATGTGAGAGTACAGCTGCATCCTAAAAACCTGATATGAGACAGATGTGGAGTGCACACCTATAATCCCAGCACTCTGGGAGGCTGAGGCAGGATGGCAAGTTCCTCCCCAGCCTGGGCAGTTAGCAACTTAGTGAGACCCTGTCTCAAAATAAAAAATGCAAAGGGCTCGGGATGTAGCTAAGTGCAAAGGTCTTAGGTTTTGTGTTTTTTAAAAATTCTTTTATTGGTACATTTTAGGTATACAATATGCTTACATTTATCATTGGGTGTTTGTACCTGTACATGATGTATCTTGGTTCTTATTTTTTTCCCCATTACCTGTGTGCCCTTCACCCCCTCCACCCTTCCCTATTTACATAGACATCATTTCCATTTTTTTTTCTTTTCTCACAATTTTTTCTTTCCCTTCTTCCCTTTCCCTTTCCCCTCCCACTGCCCCTACACTTTTGGACTTTTTCCTATTTCAAATTATGAATTATTCATTTTAATCCTTATTTACACTTTCAGTTTCTCACACTAGAGAAACTATTTGGTATTTACACATGTGTACCCTATTTATTTTACTTAATGGTATGGCCTCAGTGTGCACCCACTTAGCTATAAATGTCTCTAGTTTCTCATTCTTTATGGCTGAGTAGTACTCCATTTTATAAAAAAAACCACATCTTCTTTATCCAGTTTCCAGTTGATGGGCACTTGGGCTGCTTCCAAGTTTTACCTATTACAAACTTTGCTGCTATAAACATGGGTGCACATATATCGCTGTGGTATGATCCTTTTAATTCTTTGGGGAAAATACCCAGCAGGGGATTAGCTAGGTCAAATGGGACCTCTAGTCCTAGTTGTTTGAGGTATCTCCATACTGATTTCCACAGTGGTTGCACCAGTTTGCACTCCCACCAGCAGTGGAGCAGTGTTCCTCTTTCCCCACATCCCTGCTAACATTTGTTATTGGTTGATTTCTTGATAGCGGCCATTCTTTCTGGGGTGAGGTAGACTCTCAGTGTTGTTTTCATCTGCATCTCTCGAATGACCAGTGATGTTGAACATTTTTTCATACATTTATTTGCTGCTTTTACTTTGTCTGAGAAATGTCTGTTCATTTCAGATGCCCATTTTTGAATTGGATCTTTGAATTTGGGGGGGTCTGATTTTTTTCAATTCTTTATATATTCTAGATAGTAGCAAAGGTCTTAGGTTTAATCCCCAATAACACACATGTGCACGTGCACACAAACAGAGCCCCCTCTCCTTGTGATTCACATTTCTACCGTGACCATGCATTTTACAGTGTGGCTTTGCTATGCCTCTCAAAAGAGGGGAGTCTACCTTCCCTCCCCTTGAATCTGGGCTTGCCTTTTTTGTTGTTTTGTTTTGTTTTGGTGCCGGGGATCAAACTCAGGACCTTGCACTTACAAAGCAGGCACAGTACCACTGAGTTAGATCCCTGGCCCCTGGGCTTGTCTTTTGACTGGCGTTGCCCAGTGGAATGTGGTAGAAGGGACGTGTCCTAATTCCAAGGCTACACCTTAAGGAATAAGGCCACTTTTTCTTCTTAGCACATTTCTGCTTCCACATAAAGAAACCAGGACTACCTTACTGTAGGGCAGGAAGCGCCCCTGCAATGGGCAGCAGCCATGGATCCCCCAGGGGCAACACAGTCAGCACCCCACTGAGCTCCCCCTGACTATAACTGTATGAATGAGCCCAGCAAACTGTGCAGAGGAGATAAGGAATCATTTTGGCCTCCCCAAAGTGCCAGCCCACAGAATCATGAAAAAATACACCATTAGTATCCTAAGCCACTAAATTTTGGGGTGAGTTGTTATGTTGCAATAAACAACTGATACACAGACTCGGAGACCCCTGCATGGTTTTCATCAAATGGAAGTTTTTATTTTTTTTTTGTTCCATAGTAGTGAGGACTGAACCCAGGACCTTGTGTATGCTAGGCAAGTGCTCTGCCACTGCACCAACTTGAATTAGCACGCACCCTCAAAACTATCTTCTTAATTATGAGTATATGAAGATATGATTGAAAATATGGTGAATGTTTAAATTTTAAACACTCATGACGGTAAAAGACACATTGCCATTGATCCTCTTCCAAATGAACCCCCCTCCCTTCGAGTACACTCATCCCATTGTTCTTGCCACTTTTGGAAGCAGCTCTGGGAGTCCTCTATTGTGTGTCTTTAGTTGGGCTGTTGTGACTGCCTTGATGTCCTAAATTGATTCAAAACATTTCCCTTTCTTTCCCCCTCTTTGGTTTTTTTGAGACAGGTTCTCACTATGCAGTTCAGGTTGGGCTTGAATTCACTATGTAGACCAGGGTGGCCTCAAACTCACAGTGATCCTTCTGCCTCAGCCTCCCGAGTGCTGGGATTACAGCCATGTGCCACCATACCTGACCCACTTGCCTTTCATGGTTATTTTGACTTTAGTAAACAGCCAGGAATCCCCTGTACCAAAAAAAAAAAAGCCAGAAGTTACATAGTGAATAAGGTGGATGAGAACACACCGTTAGGTTTTCATGAGTTTGCCTTTCCATTGGATGGTATTCAGCCACAGCATTCACTGGATTTTTGATCACACCCCATTAAGACACTCAGGAAAAAGGACTTCCAGAACTGGTTCAGAAAGTACCAAGAACGATGGGATAAGCAGGTTCGAAGTGAGGGGGAGAATTTTGAAGGGGATTAATGGCAATGTGTCTTTTGGTATAATAAATTTAAAAAAATTTAAACATTCACCATATATTTTGATCACCCCTTGTAGATTTGCATTTCTCCTGTGTCGCATGTGCTGGATGGCTTCCCTCTAGATCCACTTTGTATGCCTTCCCACCTTGTTCTCTATGGTAGGAGGCCAACCTGTCATTTTGTTATGTACTTGGCCAGTGGGGAGAAGTTAAAAGATTGCAATGGAACCCCTAAACTTCCCATCTCCATGTGTCCCCATTGGTTCTAGAGGGGACCCCATCACCCCACCCTTGTACTTTGAGGAGAAGGTGCCTCTGTACAGACTGTATCCTCTGCCTTCTACCTGAATTCTGCTCCTCTCTTTTCTCCAGGTCCTTCCAGAAACACTCATTCTCTTTCTCTTGACTGCAAAATTTCCTTCCTAGCTGGCTTTTTTTTTCACAACATAGTTATATCTTAACTGTTTCTTGTCTTCACATACAATGTGATGGTTTGGATCTGGAATGCCCTTTTAAGGAAGGGGCAGAGCCTAGTGGGGGTCTGGGGTCATGGAGGTGTCCAGTGTCAGAAGTCTCGGAACTCTTGTCTCTTCCTCAGTCTTCTTATTTTCCCCCTGGCCATGAGGTGAATGGTTTTGCCACATGCTCCTCCCATGCTGCAGCCTTGTTACAGGCCCAAAGGCAATGGGGCCAATTGGTCAGACTGGAACCTTCAAAACTGTGAGCCCAAATATACCTTTCCTCCTGATAAGTTTATTTTCTCTAGTATTTGTTGCAGTAATGGAAAGCTGACACACACACACACACACACACACAC